CTGGGTAGGGCCGGGCAAGGGGTTGCAACGCCGCCCAGCCCAGGCCGTGGGGCTGTCTGCGGAGTCCGAGCCGGAGCTGGGGGACTCGAACAGGTCGCAAACTCCAGAGTCTCCGGGGAGCGAGCACGGGTTCAGGGGCTGCAACGGCTGCTTCCTTCGGAGGCGCGGGCGCCTGCTCTTCTTCACCGGGGCGCGGAGGTTCTGGTCGTTGTCCCGCCTCCCCACCCCGGTGGCAGGGCTCGCCGGGCTGGTGGGACAAGGAGCCACCATGATGCAGCCGGGTGCCCGCTCTACCCACGACGCCCCGGCTGCGGCGGGCTGCAAACGCAGGTGCGTCCTTAAGTACCCGGTGGGCTCTTTCCCTCTATCACAACTCTGCCCGCTCACTGGCTGAGCCCAGAGCGGCGCAAGAGCCGCGCTTTCCCAGCTGGAAAACCTCTTCCCCCAGAGCGCACGCAGCGTAGCCACCGCGGGCCGCCAGCGGGAGGAGGGGCTGCAGCGGTGCCCGCCTTCCGCCGCCCGCGTCCGCCGTTGCCCAGGCAACCCGAGCCCGGGCGGCTGCGGGAGCCGGGCGCGCTGGGCGCGTAGCAGTACGGAACCGGCGGCGCGGCCAGGTGAGCGGCAGGCCCCGCTGAGGGGCTCGGCTGGGCCCGAGAAAGAGATTCTCCCAGGGGCATCTCCCTGTCCTTGGCCAGATGGTCTTGACACTTTCGAGCACTTTCCATGCCGGCTCTAATCCAGGTCGGTAATTTTGTAAAAGTCTGCTTCTGAGCTCCAAACCAAGGTCTGGCTAGAATTCTGTCAGCACAGGAGAAATTTTCTTCAGTGATCCCACCAAGCCATAGTGTTAATTCAACTGCATTTGTGTTTTTTCGTTTCAGTCAGTACCTGAGTAGCCAGTGTCCTTTCCTTCCGGGGGCTCACGGTGCAGTCTCTGCAGGTTCCCCTGTGCTGCTGTGTATGTAGGAGCTAGTCCAGCCAGCCAGGCATTCGTGCACAAGACAGAAAACTGCCCTATGAACCTCAAACAGCAAGTCTTCAGTCCTGTAAAGACTTTCTCACACACTTTCCACCCTAAGCCAGCTTAAGCTAAGTCTGCAAAGGCTTAAGAACACATTTGGAGGGTTGCATTTCTAGTTTCATCGAGAAACAGCCTGGGTTTTTTTTGTTTTGGGGGAGTTCTTTTTAGGTCATTAGCTTCTAGCTTTCTACCCGGGGCGGCCTAATCCTTTCTTGATTATTCCCTACTTCCCATTTCTGCACCTCCAGGGTGTTAAGCTCAGAGAAGCAAAGCTGGAATGGGGAGGTGGCAGTTTCCTCAGGGCACCACTGGTCTAGTCCATGGACTCCTGTCCTTGTAGAAGCTGAAGTCCTCCTCTGACCTGAGTGGATCTTTCTGAGGGTCCCTAACTCTTGAGAAGGGATTCTAGGAGCACAAATACCCCTAATCTACCTATAAGCGTTTCCTAGTGGCAGAAACACCAGATACCCTCAGCCTAATGAGCTTTCCAGAGGTGCTCTGGAGAGGTGAGGTTACTAGGTGACAAACCAAGAGCAGATTCAGCCATCCTCACCTCATTCCAGAGGAAAGTTGACAAATGTATGTAGTCAACGTTCAAGTTTCTGTCTCTAATAATTCAGAGGGTGTGGTGGTGTCTCCTAGAAGTGCAGGTGAAAGAAAAGTAATGCATTTCAGGTTCTGGCCACTGTTACCCCTATTTCCCTGTAACTCTGAGCAAGCTCTTAATTTTCCTGGCCTAAATAGTGTCATCTGTAACATGGGAGATGAGGTAAGAATCACCTGGGAGGGATGCCAGTTCTCTCTCTCCACTCAGGCTATTGGTGGGGAACATTATGGGGGGAGCAGTTTGATCTGTGGAGAGATCCCCATATCAGACTTCTTCCTGGACAAACTTTCCGGGTGAGAGAAAGAATCCTGAATTCTGATTCTTCATTTTGACCCAGATGGCCAGTGTGGTACAGTGAAGAAAGCATGAAGTCAACTCCTCAGGGTCAAAATTATCCCTTGCCTTTATTGGTTATCATAGGCAAAACATTTGCCTTTTCCCAATCTCCATTTCCTTCTCTGTTAAATGTGGATATTATTACTTGCCTTGAGGGTCAAGTGAAATAGGTGTGAAAATTCAAAGTCCTCTTTGAATGTAAAATAGAGGGGTTACCTTAAAGTTGTTCTTGGGGAGTCAATAACATTATCACACTGGAGACATTCTAAAAGCAGTGTCATCACTTGATTCACCTGTGGATGAAAGGGTCTCCTTGCAGGGCTGAAAGTTTTTTGGTCTCCCAGGGAATTTGCCTGTAGTTAGAGTCAACTCCCAACAGATGGTGCCTGAGCTTTGGCTTAAGGGCTCTATTTCTCAGTATTTGTGGAATGCCTGCTGAGTCTAAAACAGTAAAACTACAAGGGCCCTGTCCTCAGAGAGCTGACACTCTAGTAGGGGAAACAAAGAACCATTTGTTCCATTTATTTTAATGATTAAAGTGTGATAAGGATGATGGTAGAGGATTTCCTGGTTTAGGGTTGACAGATAAAATACAGGACACTCAGTTAATCTGAATGTCAGATAAACACATTTTTAATATAAGTATGTCTCAAATATTGCATCGGACATTTATAAGAAAAAATTATTGTTTAGCATATTATTGCATGGGTCATACTTATACTAAAAGATTATTTATTGTTTATCTGACATTCAAATTTAACAGGGCATCCTGACATCAGGCAGCCCTACCTGGTGCCACAGAAGCCCATAGTAGGAGCCACTAGCCTGGTCTGGAAAGGCTTCCTAAAGCAAGTTATGGTTAAGACAGAAGGAGGGGGGTTGAAAGAAGAGAGGAGGGGGATTTGGGCAAGAAGATTGCAAATAGGAGAGCAGGATGTAGGGGGGTCTGCCAGGCATGATTCCTGGAATGTCCTAGAGCCTACTTGATACAGAATGACTAGGACACAGACTCAAGGGGAAGAGATGCAGGGGACGTAATCAGTAATACTTACCTAAAACTTACTATATGCCAGGGACTGTGTTATGCTCTTCATGTATATTATATTCATTTAATCTTTACAACAGCTCTATGAGCTAGCTTCTATCATTGTCCCCATTTTATAGATAAGAAAACTGAGGCATAGGGTAATTTTCCCAAGGTCACAAAGCTAGTAAATGGCACAGATAGGATTCAAACTTAGCCTAGATCCTTGCTCCATAATTACCATGCTATATATACTACTTTAACAGCAAGATCATGCTGGTCTTGTTGGTGACATTAAGTGTTTAGACTTTACCTGAAGCTACTGAAGAGACCTGACCAAGAGAAAGAGATTATCTTTTTTTTTTTTTTTACTTTTTTTTTTAGCCAGACAAATTTAGCAGTGGGGGGTTGAATACCAACTTTAGTGACACTAATGTTAATAAGTTCTGATAACCCACTACCATTGGACCAGCCAGAGATGATCTTTTATTTAAAAGATTACTCTGGCTGATGTCTGGAAAATGGATTGGAAGGGCAAGGATGTTAGATGCAGTTAGATGCAGTAATTCAGGCAAGAGATGATGGGTAATGAAGACAGAGATAAGAGATTGGATTCTACAGATTTAGAAAACAGATTAAAAGGAAGGCTTAGTGTTCAAGGTTAGGAGTCAGTGAGGTCTCTGAGTCTGGCTTTTGCACCCAGGTAAGTGAATGGATAATAGTTAAAACAACAAAGCCTCTGTTAGTCTAGTTAAGGTCAAAAGAAAATCTCATGTTTATGTTCAATTAAGCCATTACTGTAAAGATAGAACTCAATCAGGATGCAAGTATTAAAGGAGACTATTTAAATAATGAATATACATATGTAAGTATGAGTGGTTATCCTTTGTTCTCAATTGTTGCTTAGTTGAAACAACTCCAATATTTTGATTGAATTAATTTATGAAAATATTCGATATAAACTTGTACATAATTCCACCATGCTTCATGAAATTTGGGGAGGAAAAAAAACCTTGAAGGAACTTTTCTGACTTATTGTAGCATCTCAGTCATAAGCAGTCTTCCCCCCCACCCCTCACCAATGAGTAGCTAAAGACATACACAGTCTTTTATTTTAATCCAGGTTTTTAGGTTTTTTTCTAACTCTTACTGTTGGATGAAACCTCATTTCTAATTGATTTAACCTGGATATAAAAGCTCCTTCTTCTACTTGCCTTCAAAGGTGAGGGCTAGATTTTATATCTAGGACTCCTGTCTACTGCTTCCCAGAAGAGCCATGTGTTACCTTTCCTTGGTCTTCTCTCTGGCATTTGGGGTTTTTGCACCTCTCCTCAATAGAGTAGGAAAGCAAAGACTCTCAGCCATCTCTCCATTACAGTGGCCAGCATGACATCCTTACCTCTTTCCTCCATCCTCTGAAGTTATGGCTTGTGCTCATTGTTAAAATCAAAATTTACTTTTAGTCATTCATTAGCTTATCAAATATTTATTGAGTGCCTACTGTTGTGTTAGGTACTTTTCTAGGTGTTGGAAATACAGCAGTGAATAAAACAGATGCAAATTCCAGGAGGCATAATAATCAAATAACTATATTTAATATGTTAGATGGTTGAAAAGAGCTAAGAAAAATACAGCAGGAAAAGGACATGGGGATTACAGGAATTTTAAGGAAGGTTAGGAAATTTTAAGGAAGGTTAGGAAATTTTAAGGAAGGTTAGGAAATTTTAAGGAAGGTTAGGAAGGTTAGGAAAAGCCTCAATGAGCAGTTGATGTTTGAGCAAAGACTAAAAGGAGTGGAAGGTGAGTCATGCATATTCTGGGGAAAGGGCATTCTAGGCAAAAGGAACAGCATATGCAAAGGCCCTGAAACAACAGTGTGCTTGAAGCGGAGTAAGGGGTTAGAGTAGCAGGAGATGAAGACAGAGATTCTGACAAGGGGTGCCAAGATTTTGTAAATCAAGGATGTTTATTACAGTTAATTTCATGTCTTTTTACTTTTCCAGAAACTTAAAAACTATTAATACATATGTGGCTCGGCTCACATCATATTTCTGTCAGGTCAGCAGTCTGAAATGTGAGTTCTTAGTGGGCTCTTGGCTGAAGAATGACCAGATACACCAAAAGCAAGGTAAGCACAAAATTTATTAAGGAGAGAAAGATAGGATTACAGAGTAAGAGCAAGATAAATTCGCCACAGAATGGCAAACAGGGCCTCTTGTCATAACAATAAAAGGCCTTGGTTATGGTCTGGGTCTCATTTTATACTCTCTGGATTGGGACTTCCCTGTGGTTCAGACATCAACATGAACCACTTTGATGGACAGTTGGGAGATACATGACCTGAGTCTTACTGTGCCTGTGGATCTCCCATAAGCCTCTCTGAAAGCCTATTTGGGGCCGGGCTTGGTGGCTCACGCCTGTAATCCTAGCACTCTGGGAGGCCGAGGTGGGCGGATTGCTCGAGGTCAGGAGTTTGAGACCAGCCCCCGTCTCTACTAAAAATAGAAAGAAATTAATTGGCCAACTAATATATATAGAAAAATTAGCTGGGCATGGTGGCACATGGCTGTAGTCCCAGCTACTTGGGAGGCTGAGGCAGTAGGATTGCTTGAGCCCAGGAGTTTGAGGTTGCTGTGAGCTAGGCTGATGCCATGGCATTCACTCTAGCTTGGGCAAGAAGGTGAGATTCTGTCTCAAAAAAAGAAAAAAAAAAGAAAGAAAGCCTATTTGGGTGGGTGAACTGTAATGTAGAATTAAGCTAATGACACGATAACTAGCCTTTGGTTGTCTTAGGTCACTTTCCAGACCCTATTCTACTACATTCTTTTGCATTTGTTGCATTAAGTTCTGACCAGCAGATTTGTGGAGCGTTCCCTCCTCCCAGATGTAGCAATTGCAGGAGGGACCTGAGGTCTCTGGCTGTCTACTTAAAATTTCCATTGTAGAGCACTGTTGTAGAAGGATCATCCAGGCAGAGAATACATGTGGGTGGCCAGAGGCGGGGACAAAAGCAGAAATAGAAAACCACTCAAGAGTCTATTAAAACAATGCAGGTGAGATATGATGGTGCCTTGAACCAGGATGGCAGTAGTAGAGGTGATGACAAGTGGTTAGGTTCTGGATATATTTTGAATATAGGCCAACAGAATTTTATGTAAATATGTAGGGTATAAGAGAGAGAGTCAGGATGACCCCAAATGTTTTGGCCTGAGTAACTGAAAAAATAAAGTTGTTACTAACTGAGATGGAAAAGACTATTCAGGGAAAGAGAAGATAAGCACTTTGATTTGAGTGTGTTAACCTTGAGATGGCTGAGTGTTATGCTTCCATGTGAGGATGTTGAATACCCAAGTTGGGGGTTTAGGAGTGTGGTTTGGGCTGGAGATGTTAATTTGGGTGTCATCAATGAAAAAGGGTAAATAACACGATTGACATTAATGAATTTTGTGGCTCCCTCCTTCTTACCACAATATTTTTCTGATATTCTCCCTTATTATAGAACACACTATTTAAACCCAATTCAATGTAGCTTTAGACGGGACATGTAAAGTGACATACCTGCACATCCCCTGGTCATGTGCTCTACTTTCTGAAGTTTTTAAACCAAGACTGTTACTGAGAGACATGAGTGCCGAATTTTCCCTTCCTCAGTATTTGTGGTATGAACAATATGGTCCAAGTTTGGTCCTTTTTATTTTCCCTATGAAAAGTCTTTAAAATTAATTTCTGTTTACTAATCTCTCTGGGACTGGGCCCAATGCACCTTAAATGCACTAGGTAAACTTAAAATACTTTAAAAATGTAAAACCTAATTAAACCCAGGCTTCTAAAATGAAAGCCGCTTAACCATGATTTGAACTGTTTGTTTTCAGGTGTGGTTTATAAAATCTGCAAGAGACTATTAACATAATGAAACCAAAGTTGGTTCTGTTTTGTGTTGTTTTTTTCCTAGTTTGAGACTTCAGCTATGGATAAAAGTCCCTCCCCTCACCCTGCCCTAGTTCTGTGGTGGGGGTTGAAGTAGGAACAATGCATTCACTGAGGGTACCTTGTTTCAGCAAACAAAATGAGTTGTCACCTAAATGTGGACAACTTTGTTAGCACCTTTAATAATACTTAAACTCAGATTTGATGTCACTAAAAATTCTAATATTTACTTAAGACTCTATTTTCCATTAATGTATTCAAGCATCAAAATTGAGAAGTATTTAAGATACTTGAAGTCAGACAAGTTTGGCTGGTAGTTAGTAAACAAAGGATAAGAATTTTCAGCGCATTTTTTAAATTTGGACGTTTGACTTACATGTCTAAATGACCACCTGGGGAAAAGGCTATCCTTTGTTACCTACCTTCCTGGAATTTTGCCAATTGCCAGTTCATCAAAGGTTTAGTACACACCACATGTTCAAGTGGCCTGCTTCTCCCCTTATGCATAGATGTACTTTTTCTCCCAACTCACACCCACCTATGGCAATCTGCCCAGTACAGGCAGTACCATACAATGGTTACGAGCTTTGGTTCTGGAGTCAAACTCCTGGAGTTCTATCCCAGGTGCAGCATACAAGCTCTGTGAACTTGGGCGAGTTACTCAATCTCTTTATTCCTTAGTTTCTCTAGCTGTTAATAAAAAATGAGGTACTAAGAATATCCTGTAAGATTGTTGTAAGGGTTAAATAAGACATATAATATGTTCATGTAGTCTTCAATATGATCAGCTTCTGCTTTAATTATGTTTTTTGTACAGCTCAATTATAAGGTACATGTGTTTCTGTCACCCAAGGCAGTTGGGAAAAATAATACCTGATCTTTAGTTTGTTATTATTTGTGTGTGTGTGTGTGTGTGTGTGTGTGTGTGTGTGTGTGTGTAAGATTTATAGTTACAAAGAGGCTACTATTCATATTACATTTCTACTAGACTTCATCTGAGACCTGAGTCTGGTCTTTTAAGTGTTGAAAGAGAAGTGTGGCCCTCCAAATAAGTGTTACCTGGGGCAACATTTTAAGAAGTTTTACTTTTATAAAGTGTATGTCTCTTTACCACACTCAGATGCTGACTTCTAGCTATTAGAAGTAAAATGTAATATTGGGGTAGAAGATCTCTAGCAGTAGCTTCTGTCCTTCCACAGTATGGATCAGAAGTGGACATCAAGAAGAACTAAAAAGATAGTAAGCACAGCAGCATAATATGCTTGAAGCCAGCCCTGGCCTCAGCTTTCTCACAGTTTGGGAGACTAAGTGACTTGTTTCTGTGGGCCTTGAAAACATTTCCTGTATTTGTGTTTGTAGCCTGATGCTCACTCCACTGGATTCCCTTTATATTGATTGGTTGCTGGATCTGTGGTCCCCAACCCCCCAGCCACGAACCAGTACCAGTAGGTGGCCTGTTAGGGACCTGGCTACAGAGCTTCACAGTGGAAAAATTGTCTTCCATGAAATTTTGGGGGAAGAGGGGCACACAGCAGAAGGTGAGCGGTGGGCAAGCAAGAGAGTGAGTGAAGCTTCAGCAGTATTTATAGCCGCTCCCCATCACTCACATCACTGCTTGAGCTCTGGCTCCTCCACACCCCCACGCCATCTGTGGAAAAAATGTCTTCTATGAAATGGGTGCCTGGTGCCAAAAAGGTTGGGGACCACTGCTTTAGATGGTGATATTGCCCATGTAGACTCAGGCTATCAAGATGAACAAATCTTCCTGACACTATGTGTATAATATTTAGGGTATTACAATTCATTTATGATATGGTCAAGATGTTATATTATTGGACTTGTTTGGGTATTTACTACATAGCTTTATTAAGCTATTACCAGTGTATGGGGGAGCAGAGTCTTACCTGAAGAATGAGGTCATTCCTGATGTCATTTGCTTGGAGAAAAGGTGCGCTTTCCAGAAAAGAAACCCGAGTAAAGGGAAAGATGTTGGTAACTTGCAGGAAGGAAATGTCTCTTTCCTGTATTTGTCACATGTCCCCCCCCCCCACCCCAACTGGGATATCTAGGAGATTTGCTCATTACTGGTGAGTGTTAAAGTAATATGCCTCAGATTTTGTGGTCCTCTCAGAATAGGAAGTATGACACAAAACCAAGATACTATAAAAGAAAAGATTTATAGAGATTTGATTATGAAAAGTAAAAGAAAGTATTACTGGAAAAAACTGTATTTCTAGTCAAAAGTAGAAAAATAATTGTACCTCATATCAGAAACACAGGCCTAATTTTCTTAAAATACAAAGAGCTCCTATAAATTAGTATGAAAAAGAGTGACAAGCTAATAGAAAAATGAGCAAATATTTGAATAGACAGTTCACAAGAAAAGTGTTTTATATGAAAAGATGCTCAAATTCATAAGAAAAATGCAAATGAAAACTATGAGATATTATTTTACAATTAATCTGATTGATAAAAATCCAAACATTTGATAAGAGAATGTCAGGAAATAGGCTCTCGATCTGTTGCTGGAAATGGAAGTTACAATCATTTGGATGACAATTTGGCAAGCTCTATAAACATTCTTTTATTTTTATATGTATATATAGACAGGGTATCCATCACACAGGCTGGAATGTCAAACTCCTGGGCTCAAGTGATCCTCCTGTCTCAGCCTCCCAAGTAGCTGGGACTATAGGCACATGTCACCATGTCTGGCCTTATAAACATTTAAAATGTATGATAATTTTTAACTCAGCAGTTCTATTCCTGGATAATTATTCGATATCAATGCAAAATGACTTTATAAAAATATATTTTTTATAATATCCTTGTTAAAAAGTAAAACATTGATTGTCCTTGATAAGGGATACCCAAACAATGGAATATTATACAGCCAGTAAAAAAGAATGAGGTATATGTTTATAGACTGATGTAGAAGAATTTTCAAAATAGAGTGTTAAAGCAATGCATAAAACAGTATGTAAAATATGTTGTCACCTGCATAAAATATAAAAACACACACATCCTTATATAGACACAGAATCTCCCTGGAAAGACACACAAGAAACTAACACTGGTTGCTTTTGGGGAGAAAACTTGGGAGATTGAGAGACAGATATAAGAGGAAGAGGGCCTTTTACTATATACCTACATCTACCTTTTGAATTTTGAAATATGTATATATGTTATTTGTTTTAAAAT